CAGAGAGGTCCTCACAGACCTTTGCTTCCCCTTTTTATGTTGGTACTGCCTTTTATTTGGATAGAGGATGCTTGAAGGGATTTTTGTATGCTGTGCCAAGACATTGTGTTCTTTGCTTGACACTGTCTTGCTTTTGTAAAGCGTAGTGTATACTCATGGTTCTGTGTAAATAATAAATTATAATAATGACCAAGTGTCTGTCTTGTGGAAACTGGTCAGTCTAGAAGTATTCATGTGAAAAATATGATAAAAAGCCAAAGGGAGGCATTTTAAGAAAGTTAGGCAAGCTGAAAAAAGCCATGTTCGAGTTCTCAAAAGATGACTCAGTGGTTAATAGCACTTACTGCTCTTGCAAAGGTCCTGGGTTTGGTTCCCAACACCCACATGGCAGCTGACACTGTCTGTGACTCAAGTTCTGGGGGGATTCAATACCCTTTTGTCTCCATGACATTGCCTGCACGTGATGTGGTACACTTGCATGCAGACCAGACAGGGCAGTAGTACACATAGATTTTTTTAAAAAGGAATTTTGAAGCTTTTGTGTGTGTGTGGCATTTACTTATTGTGTGTGTCTGTGTCTGTGTAGGTGAACATGTGTGTGCACATTCCACAGCAAGTGTGTGGAGGTCAGAGGACAACGTGCAGGGGCTGTTTCTCTCCTCCTACCTTGTAGGTCCCAGGGATTGAACTCAAGATTGTCAGGCTTGGTGGCAAACACTTCTACCTGCTGAGCCATCTCTTTCGCTCCAAGTTCTGGCTTTTATTATTACTCTTCTGGAATTTAATAATCTAAAAGAAAATAAAGCCTTCAAAATTCATTCATTTTTCTATTTATACCAACTCAGAGAACATTATAGCCATTAAAATAGTATTTTAGCCGGGCATGGTGGTGCACGCCTTTAATCCCAGCACTGGGGAGACAGAGGCAGGCAGATCTCTGTGAGTTCAAGGCCAGCCTGGTCTACATAGTTCCAGGACAGCTGGGGCTACGGGGAGATCCTGTCTCAAAAAGACCAAAAAAAAATTTTTATATATATATATATGGTGTTTTAATTGAGTTATCGTATATGACATTTGTCCCTACCTGTAGTTAAATTGAAAAAAACATGAATCTTCTGCTTGCTATGTGACTTTTCCTGGTGAGATGTGGCCTACACTATTTGTCTATCATAGATAGGGTACTGACAGAGCAAGGAAAGGATTCCAAACAAGTCTAGCTTAGTGACCCAGTGAGTTACAGGGTTATTTACAAATGCATAGGTGACTCAAAGGCAGCTACATCACTAAGAAGCCCACTCAGCATGGGTGACAGCTTACAAAAGCTGCATCCCTAGAATGTCCTGTATAGCTTGTATGTAGCTGGGCTCATTGGAGTCTTCTCTCTAGCAACTGCTTACTGCTTTTATAACTTGAAGGGTAGGGGTGAGGACTTGTGAATCTCCTAACTTTCAGGAGTTTTCTGAGTCTTGTAAATTTCATTTACTTAGCAAATTTTCTGGGCCTTCCTCCTCCAGGAAGGAATATTTTAGTTGGGGGTGGGGGTTGGCTATAGAACACTGCTTATGTAGTTTTGCTTATAAGTGGTCTGGAGTCTCCTCTGTTGGCCTAATTTTAGGTCCTTTGCATACTTGTTAGAAGACAATTTTCCCACTGAGTGCCTTCAGATACTTATTTATATATGTGTATTCATACCTATTTGTCTTTACTTTTGATAGAAAATGATGCATCCTGTTGCCAGCAGTAATCCAGCGTTCTGTGGGCCTGGCAAGCCTTCGTGCCTCAATGAAGATGCCATGAGAGCTGCTGATCAGTTTGACTTATATTCCTCCCAGCAAAGCAAATACAGCCACACAGTCAGCCACAAACCAATGGTTTGTCAGAGGCAAGACCCATTAAATGAAACACACTTGCAACCTACAAGTGGCAGAAACATAGAGATAAAAGATGAACTAAAGAAAAAGAAAAATCTTAATCGATCTGGTAAGCGTGGCCGGCCTTCGGGAACCACCAAATCAGCAGGATACCGGACCAGCACAGGCAGACCCCTGGGAACTACCAAAGCGGCTGGATTTAAAACAAGTCCAGGCAGACCTTTGGGTACAACTAAAGCTGCGGGATACAAAGTCAGCCCAGGGAGACCTCCAGGTAGCATTAAAGCTCTATCCCGGCTTGCTGATCTTGGTTATGGCTGTGGCACTGCTGCCTTTCCTTACCCTATGATGCATAGTAGAGCAGTTCATGGGGTGCAGGAAACCAGCAGTGAAGTCAAGCCACCCAATGAATGAATGAGGCAGGAGAGGAAAGCCCAGTTTAGAAGGAGATATGAATAATCCCAAAGCTTCTTGGTTTAATTTGACATAAATTTTCCATCTGGACTTTCCAAATTTGTTTTTCTATTTGACACCCCCCACTTTTTTTCTCAGAAGCTGCCACATGTTAAGAGGTACATGTCGGGCAGCAATGGTATTCTCTTTGTACTATACATAGGTTAAGACATAACACTTAACAAAATCATTTTTGCTTTTCCTTTTATTTTTTTATCACTACTTTGGGGCCATTCTAAATAGATGATTTATATGCTAAGCAACTTTGCAACTATTATACCTTTTAATTTGTGAAGTAAGCCTACAATATAATAAGAATATTATCTAGAGTATTTTAACTGATGGAACAAAAAAAGCAACTAATGATCAGGATAACTTGTGGTAATAGCTATGTGAGTTTCTGTGACAGTTTCATGAAATAAGACATAGCTATTTGGATGCTTTGAAATTTAGAAACGATTTTGAGTGTTCTGAGTTTTAACAGCTTTTTTGATTTACATTTATTGGTTGATGTAGCTATTAGTCCTAAAATAATTCTTGAATATTTGCCTTTCAGCAGTGATAGGCTGTGTGTTTTTTAGTTGCCTAAGAGCATATATACCAAACACTACAAACAATTCATACTTTAAAAAAAATTAAAAAAAAAAAAACCTTAAAACTGCACATTACATTTTGGTGAATTACAATGCATTCTGAGAATAGCATATTTAATATACTAGGAAAAGAAACCTTAAGGTCTGCATGGAATTATAGTCACTCTATTTTGTCTTTCATATACTTAGTGAGTTTCAAAATATTATATTTAAAAACATTTGTAAGTATGACTCATTTATTTAGAATGTTTTTTTAGTTTTTCTGAGTAATTGTCATATTGCATTACACTTAACTGTATTTTCAGGTTTATATCCACCAAAGGACACACACTGAATGGTAGACTGTAAAACTGGTATAAACAGAAAACAGCTTTCTGACTGTCAGAACCCAAATACTAACAATTATAGTAATCTATGTATGCGTGAAACATGTAAAAAAAATGTTGATTAGTCAAATTAAAAAATGACGTTGTGGCTCCAGTGAGACCACTTCATCTAGAAAAAATGTCTTCACCCCAATGATACTTGCTTTAGAAGCAAGATAAGAGAAAAAAATATATTGGGCCCATAGTGTAGTGAGGGACAGTGAAATCTCCCTTTTTTCCTGAAATATTTCTTGTTAATAATTTTTTTATTTTGAGTTCCTAATGAAATATTATGAACTTCACATTTGGAAAACTTTCACTGAATTTTAAAAGTTTTTTACTTGCATTTTAAAATGCTTTTGAGATTAAAAGTGTAGATTTTTCAAGACTCAGAAACTTTTTAAATAATCAAAAATTTAAAGGGGCACATACCATGTTGATTGGGCTTGCTCCCAGTTATTGCAAAGTCTGACTGCAAATAGATACTGTATTTCATACCTTTGTTGTCAGGAAAAAAGCAGCAAGCCTTCAGGTGTTCCAGTGATGCCTGGCACAGTGAGCTGGACTATTTTGCTGCTCTTTACAGTAAGAGGTGTTGTACTGTATGTGGGGACTGTGTGCTCTGGCATCTGAGACAGTGACCTCAACAATACCAGCTTGCACAGACCATAGTGAACAATGCTGGATGACTACATTTCATAAGCAGTTCTAACATTCTGGCAGCTAAATTGCTATAAGAGTTTCTTCTTGCAGAAGCTAAGAATATAAAACTTTTAATAATTTACTCAGAACAGTATAACTTCTGACACACACAAATGCTTGCATCTTTATTCATGTGTTCACCTGTTGACTTGTATATCTGTCATTTAGCTGTTTCTCAAGATGTTTAGCAGTTGGCTGCTTAGAAATCCTTTGAAGCTAGTTCCTGAAGACAATTCAATGAAAAATTCTACTATAGAATAACATACAACCACTGACAAGGATTTGGGTGCATGTTGTATTTTACAGTAAGTCCATTTGACATCCTTTCAGTTTGATTTCATTCCTGGTTTTGCTCAACATACCCTTTCATTTCTTCCTTACCTTGTCCCATGTTCATCCCCGCCCCCCCAACTCTCCAGCACATTACTTGGTGGTGCTGTGCTGTGTGTCAGAAGATAACGCAGGTGTATTATTGTATAATGAATTTTGTATACATGTTTATGAAATGGTGAAATCAATTTAAGGAGATAAGTTCGTAACAGTGTTATTATCAGGAGCTATGTCCCAGGAAAAAAGAGGATAAATGGATAACATCACTTAGAAAACTGATGTTCATGTGAGAACAGTTACCTGGAATAGTAAATGTGTACACTGGTGGACATCTGATTCCACTTTTCTCCTTGTGAACAGTTTACTACTATCATGCTGAAGAGAGAGACATAAGTGATAACCTGAAGTCAAAAAGAAAGTATTTTTACTTCTATATAATCTAAAGACTACATTGTGCATCTTTTGTAACACTGTCTCTTGTCATGATAAACACTGAAATAGCATGTTGAACAGTTGCCTATACTTCAGTATAATCAGTTGGGGAAAACTGGCCTTTTCCCCCACACTGTATAATTATTCCTTAAAAGGTAAATTGCTAATTTTATACTGTGTGGTTCTATTCATAAAATAGGTTTCACTATTCTATATTAAAAGTGTTGGTCAGAAAATGATCTATTCACGTAAGTTTGTTTTACTTTTTTTCTTAAAAGGATATTTTAACATGCCTTATTTATTATTATCATAACAAATAAGGAACCTAATACAGATGAAATTTTCATTTTTGACAGGTAAAACCTTGCCTAACCTTTAGTATGGGATGATTTTGATACTATCTTTGGAGTTTTGCACTGGATATTAAATATATTGGCATAGTGTTAAAAAAAAGTAGTATTTGGTTTAATTTTTAATATTTGGGGACATTTTTCAAATCAGTATTTGATTAGACTAAAAATTATATATTTTATTTACTTTTTAAAAAGAAACATCTGTCAAAGTAGTATTTATTCATTCCAAACTGGTGTTTGTTTGAATTTACATATATATTTTCATGAAATAATAATAAAATTTCTTTGAGGCAAAATCTGTATCCATTTATTATTAGGTTAAGCGTGATTCATCAGTGTAAGGATAATCATAGACTATGAGTTTATACAACAAACTTCTTTATATTTTAAGAAGCTTTAAAAGAGCAGTTCCAGGGTACTGATGGTAACTGCTGCCCTGTCTGTCATTGTCTGTGTGCAGTAAAATTTTATGATCCCATCAGAGAAAATCAGTAAGAATTCACAATAGTCTAGAACATAAAAGTTTTTTTTTTTATAACATACCTGCTCTTAAACTCTAAGATGTATCTAAATCTCTCCTTTGCTTTTTCTCCCTTTTCCTCTCAAGTAGACAAATTATGCTCTCACATACAATGTATTTAATTTTTTGAAATTAATGCTATAGTAATTCAAATGTGTGATTTAATCAGGCCACTTTGATTCACAATTTCCTTTTTTCACAGATAATTATGAAGCAAATAATTACCAGTTAACTGATAATAAGCACGTTGTCCTCTGCTGTAAAAAGTCTGAATAGATACTGTGTATGGTTTAATGTCCATGAACTTGAGCTACTCATGTGCAATTAAGTGTATGGGAATGGAGTAGTGTTCATGATTTGTATCTATATCATCATATGGATGTATATTTATTAATAAAGTCATCACTTTAAAACTATGTTTGCTACTTTTTCCCCCCATTTATTTGTTTTGTATGGGGTGGGGGATGACACATAGGTGTCATAGTGCACATGTGGAGGTCAAAGGACAAGTCCTTCAGGAGTTGGTTCTCTCTGGGTCCTAGGGCTCAAACTCAGGATGTCAGACTCAGTGACAAACACCTTTACACACTGAACTGTCTTGCTGGTCCACTTTCTTTTTCAGCCTAGTACTGTTCATGTAGAGAAATGGTACTTGGTAAATAAACCTTTTTTATGATTTGTAGGTAGGTTTTTTTTTTGAATTTTGCATCTAAAATCTGTCCCTTTATACTTAATTTTTCTTTTTTATTTGTAATTCCAAATCCTTAAAATTGAATTTCACCGTGTTTCCATTATTGAGATTATCAGGGGACTGGAGAAAGATGTCTCAGAAGTTAAGAGCACATACTGCTCTTGCAGAGGACCCAAGTTCAGTTTTCAGCACCCACATCAAGGCAGCTCACAGTTGCCTTTAACTCTACCTCCAGGATATTCGATACTCTCTTCTGGACTCTGTGGGCATCTGCAGTCATCTTGCACTTAGACACACACACACAACTATACATATACTTAGTTATAAAAATAGGGGGTTCAGTGGTTAAGAGCACTTACTCTTGCAGAGGACCTTGGATTGATTCCCAGCACCATATGGCAGTTTACAATCCTCTGTAACTCCAGTTCTAGGGAGTCCAGTGCACTCTTTTGGGCCTCCACAGGCAATACACACATTTTGTGCACTTACAAACATGCAGGCAAAATGTGAATACACATAAAAATAAAATCTTTAAAAAAATATGTGTGTGTTTTTGAGTGCCTTTACCTCCCTAGTAACCTGATATACTCAGCCAAACTAATATTCTTACATTTAAATTCAGGCGTAACCTGCTTGGTTCAAAAAAGTTCAGATAAGAAGATGGCTCAGCAGGTAAATGCACTTGCCATGAAAGCCTAACCACCTGAGTTCAGTGTCAGGAACGAACTACATAAAGGTGGAAGGAGAGGCCTAGTGTGATGGCTCACACCTTTAATCCCAGCACTGTGGAGGCAGAAGCAGAGACAGAAGTAGAGGCAGGCAGATCTCTATGAGATTGAGGCCAACCTGGTCTATATAGTGAGTTCCAGGCCATCTGGGTTTACAGGGAGACCCTGCCTTAAAAAAGTGGGAGAGCAACTCCCCAGGGTTGTTCCCTGATCTCCACATGTGAGCCATGGCACTCATGCTCCCCCATGTACACACAATAATAAAAATATTTTTATGTGTATGGATGTATTACCTGCATGTATGCAAGTGTACCCATTTCATGCAAAGCCCAAGGAGGCCAGAAGAGGGCATCAGATCTGGAACTGGAGTTAGGGATGGTTGTTACCTGCCATATGGGTGCCGGGACTCAAACCAGAGTCCTTTGCAAGAGTTAGTGCTCTTAACCAATGAACTATCTCTTCAGTCCCAAAAATATTGGGACTGGAGAGATGGCTCAGCGATTAAGAACACTGGTGGTTCTTGCAGAAGACCCAGCTGTCCTGGAACTCACTATGTACACCAGGCTGGCCTTGAACTCACAGAGATCCGCCTGCCTCTGCCTCCCTAGTGCTGGGATTAAAGGCATGTGCCACCACACCTGGCAAAATATTTTAATAAAAATTATTTTTAAAGATCAGGTATCAAACGGCTCATTTTAATTTTATGCTTAGGGAGAACAGCACATATTTTTGAAGCTGTGAAATATTAGAAGTATTAAATACTTTTCTATAATTTTCTCTATTAACTTTTTTTTTATCCTAGCAGCTGCTAAGGGTAGGGGGGGGGGGAGTGGGGGTGGGGAGAATTGTGAGTGATCTTTAGAAAATGAATTGGCATTTGGAAATTTTACAGCAACATTTAGTCTTGAATTTTAATACAAGTATTTAGAATATGGTGCTGTTTATGACAAAATGAAAGATCTGCTGTAGTCAAAACCCCACACCTTTTTATTTTTCTAGACTCTCATGTCTCAAATTCATGAAATAGCCAAGGATGACGACCTTGATCTTAGGTATGTGTGACCAGTTCCCACCTTCCAAGTGCTAGGGCTACAGATACATACCACCACACCTAGTTTTTATTACTGTTTTGTTTTAAAATTTTATCTGTGCATAAGCATGTGAAGATCAGAAGACAACTTGTGGAAGTTGGTTTTCTCTTTCTACCTAGTTTTTTTGGGTGTGGCCTTTTTGAGACAGGGTCTCCCTATAGCCCCAGCTGGCCTGGAATTAACAGATCTATCTGCCTGCCTCTGCCTTGTGAGTGCTGGGACTAAAGGTATGCACCACCATGCTCAGTCAAAATTTAAAAGATTTTTAAAAATTTTTTAAAAATTATTTAATAACCATATAATTAGAAGAGGCATTTCATTACAGGGTGTGGCCTTGTGGCGCCAGGGTCTCCCTATAGCCCCAGCTGGCCTGGAATTAACAGATCTTTCTGCCTGCCTCTGCCTTGTGAGTGCTGGGACTAAAGGTATGCACCACCATGCTCAGTCAAAATTTAAAAGATTTTTAAAAATTTTTTAAAAATTATTTAATAACCATATAATTAGAAGAGGCATTTCATTACAACGGCATTTACATATTCAATAACAATTTCCAGAGCTAAGATGCCTGTCTTTCAAAATTGGTTGTAAATTCTTTACGTTTACAGTTTAATTAATACAGTTATACAATATTGTACTCAATATAAACCCTATAAGACATAAAATCAAGTGAGGTT